AGTTTATTTATCTGACTTTTGATATTTCCAAAAGGATATATAATAAATATCTTTCACTTTCATAATAAGATAACTCACATATTTAATGTAAACCCATTTACATTTGAAACAGTGCAATGGGACGGGAAAAATGAAATCTCAAACTTTACTTCCACCTAGTGGATTTAGGAGGCATTGCAATCAGAAACCAAAGGCTTTGTTTAAAAGATAAAATATTTAAAATCATAACCAAAGGTAAGAGGAGAGATAAGAGGAGTGGAGAAAAGGGGAGAGGAGTGGAGGGGAGGGGAGAGTAGACTCGAGGTGGGCAGGGGAGGGGAAGGGAAGAAAAAAGGGTCACATGGGCAGCAGCTGTATAGAAACATGAAAAATCTTAAAGCAATATTTTAAGCAAAACGTCATTACTGGAATTTATACAGATTAAACAAGCTCTGTTTAAATAACAAGTCTTAATACATCTTCTTTCATCTGATACTGGATCACCTCTACTTGTTTCATCCACGACGCCCCTGTCAGCCCCCACTACCCAGCAACTGCTTCCGGCTGGCTGGTCCGGTCTGCCCAGGCCTAAACAACGATGTCCTCTGGCTCCATCCCGACCTGTCATTTTCTGCTGGGGTGCTTGGCCTTCCTCACATCTCCTTTAAATATCCTGCTGCCCGAATGAGTTTTCTTTTGAGAGTTCTCTGTGCCCTTAAAAAGATCAAATCTAGGCCAAGTGCGGTGGCCCACATCTGTAATCCCAGCACTTTGGGAGGCTAAAGTGGGCAGAACACAAGGTCAAGAGATCGAGACCATCCTGGCTAACAGGGTGAAACCCCGTCTCTACCAAAAACACAAAAATTAGCTGGCTGTGGTGGCACACACCTGTAGTCCCAGCTACTCAGGAGGCTGAGGCAGGAGAATCACTTGAACCCAGGAGACAGGGGTTGCAGCGAGCCAAGATTGCACCACTGCACTCTAGTTGGGCAACAGAACCAGACTATGAAGAAAAAAAAAATCAAATCTACATTCTAACATGAATCCTTTCAAGTTGTTCCCTTGTTTAAAAATCTTCAAATGGTTCTTGTCACTGGAACTAACATCTAAATTCCTTTAAGTGCTGTCAGTGGCATAGGATGACCTCAGCCTTGTCTCTGTTTGCAGATTCATCTCCGTTTACCCGCGATCCGCAGCACAGCAGGCTGTCTCCGGCTTCGGGGGCTTGCCATGCGCTGTGCACTTTACCTGGAATGCCTTCTGACTTGACCAACTTGCCAAACCGCTGTGCACAGGCACCTGATCCTTTGTGAAAATTAGTCACCTGGAGAAACGTAGATGTATGTATAGTGATGGAACCCTAAGACATGATCTTTCCAATGACTAGTAATAAGGGAAATTTTGTGTGAGTATCTGTAGGTAAAGATCTATATCCAGATATAAATGTATACTGACAGAACTAACTTTGGAATTAAAAGCTATGCTGCTGAGCGTGTACAAGGATACATATTTCTGGGAAGCTATTTGTTAATTTGTGCCAGATATGAGGTTAAAATCTGACAAAAAAAAGTGTTTTTTTTCTTTATGCCTGCAGGTTTTGCATGTGGCTTAGAAATTAAAGCCAGGGATAGAATTTGAGTTATGAGTAACTGACTGGGGAGAAAAATGGAGAAGTGTTCAGAGAGGAAGGATGAAAACCAGGAGCTCCAGAGTCCCGAGAACCAGAAGAGGGCTCCATTCAGGGAGAGGAAGTGGTGACCCATGACAACGCCAGGACCCGGGAGGCAGGGCTGAGAACTCTGCACTGGGCGGCTGGCGGCACGGAGAGAGGAACCTGGTGGAGAGGTCAATGCAGGAGCAGATTCGGCAGGACAGGAGAGTGACAGCTGAGAAAACCAAGGCAGCCACTGTGGGTCTCTCACTCAAGAAGCAGGGTGGAAGGAAACACAGTTCCCTTCGAGGCTGAAAGGACCGTCTGAAAGATCAGGGAGAGCAGCAGTCTCTGGCCCCTGACTCCACTCCTCAGTCAGGCTGGGATGTGCAGAACTCAATGCCCCCCAGCCCTGGCTTGCAGGTGTAGGGGCTGTGCCAAGGCCAGGAGTCACCATGAGTGGAGGCAACTCCAGAGTCCTGCAGCCCCAGCTGGGTGGGCCTCAGCCCTCTGCCCAGATCCAGGAACAGCCCATAACTTCCTTGAGATTAAAAAAAAAAAAAACAAAACCCTGAGGGACACACAGACTCTGAGAGCTACACTCACTGCCACCACCAAGGATAAACAGTGAAAAAAAAAACATAATAGACTTTTACCCCTCTAACCCAAAAATGTCTTCCTCCCTTAAGAGAATCCAATCTTCACTCCCTTCACCACTGAATAAAAGGATCGCAGACCGCCCCAAGAAGCTGCGCAGGATCTGCTTAAACCAGAGCTTACTTGAAATTCAAAAAGAAGCCAACGGGCTTAAAAAAACAACCAACCAAAGCACCCTATCCTGTTCCTTCTTACCTGAGCTACCTCCCTGTATTAGGCAACCACATACTTTGAAAATAATGACAGCCGGGTGTGGTGGCTCACACCTGTAATCACGGTACTTTGGGAGGCCAAGGTGAGTGGATGACGAGGTCAAGAGATGGAGACCAGCCTGACCAACTTGGTGAAACCCTGTCTGCACTAAAAATACAAAAATTAGCCTGGTGTGGTGGCGTGTGCCTGTGATCCCAGCTACTCGGGAGGCCGAGGCAGGAAAATCACTTGAACCAGGGAGTAGGCGGTTGCAGTGAGCCGAGATTGTGACACTGCACCCCAGCTTGGGTGACAGAGTGAGACTCTATCTCGAAAGGAAGGAAAGAAGAAAGGAAAGAAAGAAAAAAAGAAAGAAAGAAGGAAGGAAGGAAGGAAGGAAGGGAAGGAGGGAGGGAGGGAGGGAGGGAGGGAGGGAGGGAGGAAAGAATGGCATAGGAGGAAACAGAAGGAAAGCGCAACTCACATTGCTTTTTCTTTTCCTTGAGTATTTCTCACTCATTAGTCAGCCACAAGTAGTGAGTTGGTGGAATAGTGGAATGTGTGCATATCATGAAGTGAAATGAAAGCAATTGAATTTATTTTGTGGAGCATTTCCACCCTTCTGGTATGAATGAAATACATATGCATATGTGAGTTACAAAATGCAATTGCCAATTTTATATAAAGATGAACGGTAAAATTCATGCTAATAATTAGTAATTATAATTTGTTTTTACTTACTATGACATTAATAGCACATTTGGAAATACCATGATGTCAGGAAAAAGACTACAGAAAAAATGTAAAAACATTATATGTGAGTACCTTTAACAGCACTTTTATTCGTGTATTTTGTAAAAGGGTTCACATTTTCATTTTTTTCTGAATAAATTATGCATTCAGCTCTGTCCACAATCAGCTTCTTACCAAGGGCCACCAAGAGCCATACTAGGCTCCTTTATGGAAATGAACACAGAACATTACAGACAAATCCTAACTTGCTACATGAAATGTTGGTCACAAATCCCTGTCAGTTCTCTTGACTGTGAATGGAGCTCCACCATGGGTGACTTGAGAAACTCTCAGATTAAGGCCTGCATTAAAACAGTCTCACATGCAGCCTGCTCCTTGCCTACTTTATAGGGAGCTCCACCATTCCCACTTAGCTTCCAAAAGGTGAGGGCATCTTAAATGAGAGGCAACTCCAGGCCCAATTTTATCACTCAGCTGCAAAGATGGCAGGACACATTTAAGTACCCAAATGACAACACAGGAAAGAAGTTGTCCTTGATCATTTCTATTTATAATCTCTTTCCTCTGTCCACTAAAAATACCACCACCTGCAACATTATACATTCTTTTAAAATATTAATGTTATTTATTTTGGAACAGGTAATATATAAACATGATTTAAAAACACTGATTTTAGGCCGGGCGCGGTGGCTCAAGCCTGTAATCCCAGCACTTTGGGAGGCCGAGGCGGGTGGATCACGAGGTCAAGAGATTGAGACCATCCTGGTCAACATGGTGAAACCCCGTCTCTACTAAAAAACTACAAAAAATTAGCTGGGCATGGTGGCGCGTGCCTGTAATCCCAGCTACTCAGGAGGCTGAGGCAGGAGAATTGCCTGAACCCAGGAGGCGGAGGTTGCGGTGAGCCGAGATCACGCCATTGCACTCCAGCCTGGGTAACAAGAGCGAAACTCCGACTCAAAAAAAAAAAAAAACAAACAACAACAACAAAAAAAACACTGATTTTAGAGGACATTTTCTTTGACCACAGTAAGCTAGCAATCACTAATTAAAAAAAAAACCGAATAAGTTTCTTTATAATTGGAAATTAAGTAATACAATACTTCTATTTTGAATTCTCCCGAAAGCAGAACTGGAGCCAAGAACTTAGTATAGGTAGTCTATCTGGGAGGTGCTCTCTGGAAGAAGAGATGAGAAAATGGGAAAATCCAGACAAGGAAGCTGGGAAAGCCAGTGATGTAAACTATCTTTAAAAAAAAAATAGAAAGTTAATTTTTTTCAAATATTGCTAATTTATTCTTTTTGTTAGATTCACTAATTTTTAAGATTAAAAATGGCTTATATTCTTTACAAATTAAAACATTAGATCACAAATGAAAATATGCTCCAGGCATCTACAGGTTTCTCCTTTTCTTTATACTCCGCTAAAAACATTAAAAAAAAATTCTTTTAAAAATAAAAAATATAGTCTCATACCACCCTCTACTTCCTCTAGGTCTCTGGATCCCTGGTAAAACAGCTGGCAGCCTTTTCTGTTTCCTTAGCAACCATGTCATCATTCAGTTGGCCTGACAACACTTTGGTTTAAAAAAAAAAAAAAAACCACATATAGCAAATGTTTGGAATTTTCATTTCTGAGGATCCATCCTCTCCTAAGTGCTTTTGCATTTTACAAATTTTGCAATAAAAAAACCTACAGAGTCCTTATTAGCCAGCCACATGTCTTCTCTTCTGGTCTCTCTCAGAGAGTCTACGTCAGTGTCTGGTAATGGCACAGCCGATGGATCACATCGCTGCAGCTGCTTCAATTGTTCACAAGAGAGGCCAGCTCCCCTCATTCCTTCTCCTCCAATCTGTGGTTCCTGGGGCTGAAGCTGAAGACAAGGAAATTTTGTGAGGGCCCAGGCAACCTGCTCTTCATTTGCAGCCAGTGTTATGGTGCATGTGCTATAAACCAGCACACCCCCTGGCTTCAGCAGCCGAACTGCCACAGTGAAGCGTTTTCGCTGTAATGGCTGATATGATGCCATTTCCTTCAAAGACCGAGTACAGGCCATGTTTGGTCTCTGTCCCATTCCACTACAGGGTGCATCCATGGAGCAGCTCCGCTGCAGTGCATGCAGGAGGACTTCCTGGTGCATGAGGTGACCAATCTGCCGGTGACAGAAGCACTGATTGAGCGGGAGAATGCAGCCCATCTCAAGAAGTGGCGGGAAACACGGGGGGAGCTGCAATATTGGCCCTCACAGCGACTGCATGGCTCCAGGACCACCCATGAGGAGCGCAGGCGGCAACAGCCACCCCTGGGCCCCTCCTCCAGCCTCCTCAGCCTCCTCAGCCTCCCTGGCCTCAAGAGCCGAGGCTCCCGGGCAGCTGGAGGGCCCCCCTCTCCGCCGCCCCTCACCCTCCGGGCCAGCGCTGGGCCTGCCCCAGGGCCTGTGGTCACTGCTGAGGGACTGCATCCATCCCTTCCCTCACCCACTGGCAACAGCACCCCCTTGGGTTCCAGCAAGGAGACCCGGAAGCAGGAGAAGGAGCGGCAGAAACAGCAGAAAGAGCGAGAGAAGGAGAGGCAGAAGCAGGAGAAAGAGCGGGAGAAGCTGGAGAAGGAACGGGAGAAGCAGGAGAAGAAGGTTCAGGGCCGGAAGCCTTCATTGCCTGGAAAGGCAGATGGGACCCCAGGCCCCCACGATGGCGACGACAGGCCCTCAGCAGCTGAGGCCCGGCAGGACGCTTACTTCTGACCTCTGCCCTGGGGCTGGACTGCATGGCCCCCTCTTTCCCTCAGCCAAGAGCAGGCCTGGCCCGAGGTGCCACCCCTGGCCCCTGGGCAGGCTGTCCCTCACTGGGGAAAGAAGCTTGCTTCCCCGTCTCCTCACCAGCTGCTGATCCCTATACAAGCAGGGCAGATGGGCAGCTGCAAAGGACTCTGGAGCTTCTCACCTCCCATGAGACTCAGCTGGGGTCTCTGTCGCTCCTGCCCCAGTTCCCTCCAGGTCCCCTCCTAGGTGCTGTCCTGATTGGCCCGTTGTCATCCCAGGGGTGACTCCTGGTGATGGGAGTCAGCAGTTTCAGATTCTTACACTCCATGGCTCCCCTTAGGATGAGGTGGAGCTGGCTTCCTTTTCCCCATCTTCAGCCCTGCCTGTCTTCCCCACTTCCTGGCCAGGGCTCTCCTTCTGGACCTCTCTGTGTTGTAATTATGTACAGAGGATGGGGTTGGCCCTGGGTGGGGGAGTGGGGGTCTCGCTTTGTCTTCCGTCCTTTGGTTCTCCTTCCATAATGCTCCTGTACCCAGTTTATTCAAGGGGACATGCACTGGAATAGGAAACGTCCCCCATCTCCCTTCCTGCACCCTGCTGTGTGCTTCCTCCAAACCCACCTTACTGTGTTCTCAGGCCCTCCTGCTCTGTCTCATCAGGACCCTACCATTCACCTTGTTCCCTTCTACCCCTCCAGTTACTCCCTATCTGGGTAAGGGTCTTCCCTTGAGCTCCAGGGGGTGGAACCCAATGTTTACATTCTCTTCTGTCTCTGCCCCGACCCCATGCAGCGCTCTGAGCAATCAGAAAAGAACCTGTTGTACCTGGAAAAAAAAAATAGAAAGGAATCAGTCCCGGCTGGACAATGTGATGAAGAAACTTGCAAAAGTATCTCATATGACCAGTGATCGGCATCAGTGGAAGGGCCAGTGGGAAGAGGAAAGAGATGTCTGCACTCCTGGCTGTGGCTGGACAGCAGAAACCCCATGCCGTCTGTCCTGTTCTGAGGAGAACTCGCTGCTGCCTTGCCTTCCAGGACCTCATTTGCTGAGGAGGGACTCTGAGTCATCCAGAGAGACTCACGCACTCCACTAGTGTTTTGCTGTTGCTCATTCCATGTATTTGACAGCTCTTTTCTTCTGCTCAGACCCTTCCCCCTGCTCAGACAGTGCGCCACTGTCCCATCAAAAGAAACCTGTCAGGAATGCGAGCTTCTGGGTATGTTTCGTGTCCCATTGCTGTAGCATTTCTTAGCCCTTGAGAGCTGATGATTATCGAGGACAAAAGGCTCAGAAACAGTTCGCGACAGAAAATGCAATGTTTAATTTTTTCAGGGATAAATGCTAACATAAAATTACTTTTTCGGGTGCCTTTTTGGGTGTGTGTGGTAAGAATAACTAATGGAAAGTAATCACCCTGGAGTTTGGGGGCTGCTAACAACTTGTGGCTTTAATTGACAGGAGCAATTAAAAAGACCAAGTGGACTCTGTGTTGGCACAGCTTAGGGAGGGGTTGATGATGTCACCAGAGGTCAGAACCTGATCCTTTGACAACTTGATGTTGCCGTACCAGGGTTTCTTCCCCAGAGCTGCTGCTTGCATTGTGAGGTTGATTCCTACATATGTTGTTGCTAAACAGCTCAGTAACACACTTGAATGGATTTGGATGCCAGATCGTCCTCATCACGGTTCTTTCAGTCCTAGGGCACTCTACATTGGGGATTGGGGTTACGAGTGGTCAGTCCATTTATTACATTTATTCAGAAACTGTAATGACAAAAAAGGTTAGCTCTGGCCAACCTTCTCTTACCCTGTGGGTAATGGTGAGGATGTGTAGGTGAACTTGGTTCCTTTTTTTCCCTACGATGACAACTTGATTTTATCATCCAATCAAATAACTGAGCCAATCCAAGTTCGCATGATAGATGCTTTAATTGAGTCTAAATAGCTGGAACTGCTGAGACACTAAACTTTAAGCTTCTCATGACTTTTTAAATGCCTCAAATGTGCATATGTATATAGGATATTTTTATAACTTCCCTGATGAATAATCTGATATTAAAGTAGTATTTGGACCCAGAGCCAGAACTCAGTGGTGGAGGCTGCTGGTTTCTCCTCACACCTTCTTTTGTACTTGGAAAGAACAGTAACATCTGGATAGAGTTCTAGCTTTGACTTCTCATTTCCTTATCTTTTTGGGTGAGCACACTTTTTTTAAACCTTTTTGTTTTGTTTGCATTTCATGTGGTTTTATTTTGGGGTTTTGGTTTTTCACCCTTTTTTTGATTTGCAGTGATGTGCTTGCCCTGCTAACTTTTGAATTGCACTTTTTAATAAATATTTGTAACAATTTTTTGAAAAATGAAAAATTTTTTTTAATTTTTATTTTTAAAGATTAATCCATTGTTTAATTCATACTAGCGAATTTGAATGATTTTACACTTTGCTTCAAGCAAATTCAAATCCTAGAATAACAAATTTGAATTGAAAAAAATTAAATTATACCCATTCAATGCACTGTCATTCTTTTAATGATGTTTCAGAACAAAGAAAATGTCACAGAGTTACGTGCAGTTTTTATCTGGTATACGGCACAAGAAACAGTTACCAACAAAAAATATTTCTACAGTCCCAAAATAGCTTACTTACAAATATTTGCAAAATTTTTTCTTATGGTACTCATGTAGTTTTGTACTTGAATTGACAGTTTACAGAGATGAAAAATTAAAATTGAGGTTTTTTTAATTAGAAAGACAATAGTACATAATTTAGCCCTTAAAGGTATTCGGTAAAAAATGTGGAGATATTTTATTCCCAGGTAACTGTCACATACAGTCTTTATTCTCTACTTCTGCTTCATTCTGTGTCACTTTAGCATGCTTACCTCCTGGGTGCTCTCTGTACATTTTTTCCCCTCTGTATACATCTATGCCATGGCTTCTGGTGTCATTTCTTCTACTTCGCTCTTCTGTGGGACTTCGCTGTGGCCATTTTCTTAACTCCCTTTGCTTATAACTACCAGGACTTCTGCTCCGGCTTCTCCTGCTCCTTTCATCCCTGCCGTGGCTTCTGCCGCTCCCCTCATCTCTTTCAGAGCCTCTCTTCTCTGGGCTATGATTACAGCTTCTGGACTTTTTGTCAGAATCGGAATGGCTCCGTTTGCTGTTCTCCCTAGAACTCTCGTGTTTTAAGAACCTGGGCTTTTCCTTGGCTTTTTCCTTATGGTGACTGCTGGAAAGTTCTTCATGGAGTTTTCTCTTCTTAGACTTCTCTTCAGATTCACCGCTGTTCTTCCCTGAACACTTGCTTTTCTTTCTTTTCTTCCTTTCTATCAGCTGCTCCAGGTATCTATCCAAAGGATTACAAATCGTTCTACTATAAGGACACGTGCACACGAATGTTCACTGCAGCACTGTTTACAATATCAAACACCTGGAACCAACCCAAATGCCCATCGATGATAGACTGGACAGGGAAAATGTGGCACATATACACCATGGAATATTATGCAGCCATCAAAAACGATGAGTTCGTGTCCTTTGTAGGGACATGGATGAACCTGGAAACCATCGTTCTCAGCAAACTGACACAAGAACAGAAAATCAAACACCGCATATTCTCACTCATAGGTGGGTGTTGAACAATGAGAACACATGGACACAGGGAGGGGAGCACTACACACTGGGGTCTTTTGGGGGGAAATGGGGGAGGGATAGTGGGGGGTGGGGAGTTGGGGAGAGATAGCATGGGGAGAAATGCCAGATATAGGTGATGGGGAGGAAGACAGCAAATCACACTGCCATGTGTGTACCTATGCAACAATCTTGCATGTTCTTCACAGGTACCCCAAAACCTAAAATGCAATAAAAAAATAAAATAAAATAAATAAAAATCACATGTGACTTGGTCCTTTTTAACTTTTATTTTAGGTTCAGGGGCACATGTGAAGGTTTATCTTTGTTACTGCTCCCCATCCTCCCAGCCTCCCCCCTCAACTCCACCCCACTGTCATTTTCTTTGTGTTTGTAAGTTCTTACAAGTTAGCTCCCACTTGTGAGAACATGCTCTATTTTTTTTTAATGGTACTTTAGGTTCTGGGGTACTTGTGCAGATCATTCAGGATTGCTGCATAGGTACATACATGGCAATGTGGTTTGTTTGCCTCCATCCCCCGTCACCTATATCTGGCATTTCTCCCCATGTCATCCTTCTGGAACCTCCCCACTCCCCTGCTGTCCCTCTCCTGGTCCCCCACAACAGACCAGTGTGTGATGCTCTGCTCCCTGTGTCCATGTGTTCTCATTGTTCAACGCCCACCTATGAGTGAGAACATGAGATGTTTGATTTTCTGTTCCTGTGTCAGTTTGCTGAGAATGATGGTTTCCAGATTCATCCATGTTTTTTTTTAATCAAATACTGCAGTACTGATTTAATCAGTATAAAATTGAAAGAGCTTTAGATCCGTAATAAAAACCCAAATTTGGGGAAGGGCAAACTTTAAAACAGCAGGCAAGTAGAGAAGGGTTGGGGAAAGGAGGGGTGAGTGAACAGGCACATTGGAACTGTGGGGACATGTAACTGACCACTGTCAAACCAGTGTAAGTTTCTTGGTTTCTCACGGAAAACATCTTATACACCTATTTTTCTTCCTTCCATATTTAAGTCCATTAGTGTCCAGATAAATCTGTTCCATTTTTTGTCTTGTTTTGTTGGGATATTACAACACAGTATTGCATTTACTCCAGTTCCTGTTCCATGTGGAAAAATCAGATGATTTCAAATACTTTCTTCAGCTCCACAATAAGCTGCCAGTCACTCTTCTGCATTTCATCTCTGAACCAGTCTTTGAGTGCATCAATGGACTGCCGGCTGAGCTTACTGACAAGAATGTCTGTAGCTTCAAAATGTCTTCCAAACATTTTGGGCGACTCACCAGGGATAGGTTCTATTTTTACACAGACTTCTTGTCCTTTTCTTGCAACATCCACTTGTTTATGGTTTATTTCAATACTTGTTACTATTCTGATGTCAACAAAATTTTTGCTTGGGATGCACATGGGTGTCCCATTTCATCTGACCTGCTTCCACTGTCACCCCCATCACTATCAGATCTCGAGAATTAAAAATGTACTGAGGGAATATTTTCATCTTGCAGGGAAGTACTGCTCTGTGCTTAAATTCTTCTTGTTTCTGTTTCTTGTAGTCTTGTCTATATTTTGTAAAGGCATCAAATAAGTGATAAATAATTTCTGCACTAAAAATTCTAACTCCTGGCCGGGCGCAGTGGCTCACGCCTGTAATCCCAGCACTTTGGGAGGCCGAGGCGGGTGGATCACGAGGTCAAGAGATCGAGACCATCCTGGTCAACATGGTGAAACCCCGTCTCTACTAAAAATACAAAAAATCAGCTGGGCATGGTGGCGCGTGCCTGTAATCCCAGGTACTCTGGAGGCTGAGGCAGGAGAATTGCCTGAACCCAGGAGGCGGAGGTTGCGGTGAGCCGAGATCGCGCCATTGCACTCCAGCCTGGGTAACAAGAGCGAAACTCCGTCTCAAAAAAAAAAAAAAGAAAAAAAAAATTCTAACTCCTAAACTATTAGCCATTTCTTGTGCATCTCGTTCAATTCTCACATCGGAGGCCAAAATTACTGCATACTGAGGGTCATGTTCCAACATCACTGAAGCCTTCATAACATTTTTATGCACTGGGCCAATGTTAATTCCTGCTTAGGGCACTTCTGATGTTTTCAGAAATTCAAGTAGAGCTTCCAAAGAACCCAGTGTAGATGCATGGACATAGACTCCTTTTTCTTCTAACTTGATAGCATTTAGTGTCTGCTTTAATTCATGGATCAATTCATCTTTAAGAACAGGGATTTCATCTACTTTATAAGCCATGAAGAGGGGTAAACAAACCAAGGTTTTCTCCAGGTCTTTTCCAAGAATCTTTACCCCCTGAGCTGCTCCTACTTCTTTATGCTTTTCTTACTGGTTCTTCACTCATAATTCCTTCATAGGAGGAGGTAACAGGAGGCCTTGAATCTGAGTTACAACGGGCCCTTCTATGCCAGGAACAATGATTGTATCTCCTTCCTTCAAATGCCCATTGATCAAGATGACATCTATAGTGGTGCCCATTCCTGGGAGAGCTTTAACCTCCATCACTTGTGCTCTTAGCTCTTCACAGTGCGCAAGTCTCTTGCTCAACATGGTCTGAGTTAACTCCACAAGAAGGTAGATCAGACTTCCCATGCCATCACCAGTATGTGCAGAGGTAGGTAGCAAAGACGCAAAAGTGCAGGGATCTTTATTCTCATAAAACAAAGCAGCATTTAAATCCTGCTGTGCAAATTCTACAATAATAGCCTTCGCTCACTCCTCAAATTCATCTTTTGTATTTTTTTTCTGCTTCTTTAAAATAGCAGCCACATCAGAGTCGGGACTCTTTTTCCAATCACATAACTTATCAATCTTATTAAGTGCAACAATGAAGGGACATTTTTTAGATTTGAGAAGGTTGATGGACTCAATTGTCTGGGGCTCCAAACCATGCATAATATCAACAACTAAAATGGCAATGTCACAAAGAGAGCTTCCTCTATTTCTCAGATTACTGAAACATTCATGCCCAGGAGTATCAATAATCAGCATTCCTGGAATCCATACATTCTCTCTACCAAAATTTTTAATCATCTTAGTCTGTTCAATAGCTTCAAGAGGAACATTGGTGGCCCCAATTTGTTGTGTGATACCACCTGCTTCACCATCTTGTACATGTGTGTGACAGAGTTTATCCAGAATTTTTGTCTTCCCTGTGTCCACATGCCCAAGTACACAGAAAATGGGGGCTCTCCGCTTTGTGGTATTTACATTTTTACTAAGTTCAAGTCACCATTTCTCAATCCTCCGTTTTGCTTTGTCATAAGCCCTCTGTTCTTTAGTCCGATCATCATCAGTCATATTCAGAATCTGAGCTCATTTCTTTACTTGGCTTTTTATCTAATGTCTTCCCTGAATCCTTCTCATCTGACATCTTTTCATCTTCCTCATCACCTTCACTTTCTCCCTCCTCTTCTTCACTTTCTTCATCTTCTTCCTCCTCCTCTTCAGGGTTTTCCTTTACTTCTATATGAACTATATTTCCTTTTTCTGTCTCTTCATCACTGGCCATAGCTTCCCAATCATCCAATCCAGCATCCTCAGTGTCTTCTTCTTCTTCTGGTTCAACAGGAGGTGGTGTTTCTTCCTTTTCTGATACTCCTTGGTCCATAACTTCTACAGCAGCACATAATTCCATTGATTCAGACACTTCTTTACTTTCTAGCTGCTATGGTATTTTTTTCCTCTTTTTATCTTCATAAACTGGCCTCTTCCTTGGCAAAGAGTCTTTTGATGGCACTTCAACACCCTGAGCTTGTAGGAGTTTAAGGGTAGCTTCAGCTCTGGCTTCTCTCTGTGATTTAAAGTTTTCCTTCCTTTTTCAAGTGTTCTTTTCTTTTTGCTTTTTCCTTTCTCTTTTTTCTTGTTCCAGTCGTTCCTCTTCTTTACTCTTGGCTTCTAATTCTTCAAGCCGTTTTATACGTTCTTCCTCTTCTCTCTTCTGTCTTTCTTCTTCCTCTTTAAGCTTAGCCAGAGCTTCTTACATAGCTTTAACAGTGGCTTTGCCAGGTCCTTTTTTCTTCTTTCTCCTTTCTTTTTCTTGTTATCTTTCTTCTTTTTGTCACCTTCATTGTCATCTTCTGCAGCTGTGGGAGTCTCTGCTTTCTCTTCAGAGGCAGGGATTACTCCAGTATCAAGAGTCACTCTGGATTTTACAGTTTTTTCTTCAGATTTCCTCTGAGATTCCTTTTGTTTACTCTGATCCTTTTTACCTGTTTGTAATTCATCTTTTTCTTTCAGCTTACGCAGTTTTGCTTTTTCTTCATCTCGCTTTTTTCTCTCGCACTCCTTCTTTTCTGCTTTCTTTTGGGCCACTGTCTTAATTTTGAAGGAGTCATCAACATCTTCATTCCCACTTTCTATATTAGGATCTGACTTGTTTTTTTGATTTTTTTTCCTGTCCTTTTCTAGATTGCAAAAATTCATCTGATTCATCAAGACTTTCACCAGAAGAATTTACTCTTGAACGCTCTTTAATTTTGTTACTGTTATCCTCATCCTCTTCAGACCAATCCCACTTCTTGATTTTTGAGCTCTCCCTTTTTTAGGAAGTTTATTAAAATCATCATCATCATCACTCCCAGAGTACATTTCCACTTTTGGTTTTGCAGTCTTTTTAAATTTTGAATCTTTATCTTCCAAGTCTTCACTATCATTATCATCAAAACTCTGTTTTTTGCCCTTCTGTCCTTTCTTTTTTTTATCTTGTTTTGAGGTGAACTCCTCTTCATTGTTTTCTGTTGGCTTCACTGCAATAGTTTCTCTGTCAGCTTTGATGCCTTGAGCTTCCAAAGACAATTCTTCTAGTTCTTTCAGGATATCATCTTCATCAAAGTCCTGCTTTTTTTCTCTTTTTTCTTTTTCCCTTTTGACTTTTGAGGCTCTTGTTCTTTGGCAGCACCAGCTCCTTCCATTTCTGCAGCCAAGGCAACAAGATCAATGTCATCTTTGGCCCTGTCTTCGCTCTTGTTTTTCTGTTTCTTCCCCATTGCTTGTCAATTGGCACTCGGCCCCTCTATTCGGTCTCTCACAGACCCACTGTCTGCCAGCTCACTTTGGTCTCCACTCAGCTCCTTTCCCCAAGTGCTGCTGCCACTCCCACCTGGCTCTCCACAGACCCGCACACTGGAACAGGGCACATATGGTGTGAATTCTATTTTCTGAATATGTGAGTAAGTGAATATATAAAAGGGAGACTAAAACTCATGGAGGATAGAATGACAAAATTCAACATTTACAGCATAAAAGCAAAATTTTATTTTCAGATAATCAAGGTAGAGAGGATTTACTACTCATAAACCTTACTGAGTAAACTACTGAAAATGAAAAATTATTTTTTTCTTCAATTTAAAGAACAATTGGTTCTTTAAAGTAAGATGAGACCAACTGAGGAGCACTGAAAATAAGATGGAGCTAAATGATAGACAACATTAACATGGAATATGGCAAAGTGCAAACTAAACTAAAAATTTCCGTTTTCCATACGTGCTCAGGAATAGTAACACTATTTACGTTAGATGTCACTGATTTCACTCCTGTAGTTAAAATGTGAAGACAGTACAAACATAAAAATTGAATGTATAAATTCAAAATAAAAATTTTAAGGGTAGGAAATTGGTAAAAGAAAAACCATAGTAAATGAAAACAGTAAATGAAATGGTGAAAATAAAGCTACATATATCAGGGATTATAATGTAAATGAATTAAACTCACCTGTAAAAGGAAATCCAGAATTATAGCAAAAAACTCAAGTTTTATTTATAAGTCACATACTTCAATCATAATTATAGGAAAAGATTGCAAGTTTAAAAATGGAACTTACACTATTGTTCAGTATTTATTTTACCATGTCCAATTAATGGCTTTTACTATCTGATTGGGCTATTCTTTATTCAATTCCGTTTCCCGTTATGCCTAAGTAATATGTATTAGAGGTCATTTTTGGCCTATTTGAATATAGAGTTTTTTTTATCATGGGGTTTATAGTTTTTAGAATGTTTAATTTTCAACTGAAAAATTGTAAGTTTTCTAAATTGTTTACAAGTTTGTTAATGTTTGGATAAGACACGTTAGAAATTTATGTCTTTCCTCAAATTTGACACCAATTGGAATTTTTCATGAAAAAGCTTTGAAGGTTACTTATAAAACTAATGAATTTAATGTTAAGCAAATGTGTAGTTAAGTGCAAACTTTTGTAGTTTGCTAATGGAATAAAAATTTTTATGGGGAAGCAATTTGACACTATACATCAAGAGTTTTGAAGTTATCGTACCCTTTAACCTAATAACTCTACTTGAGAATGAATAAATTTTAAGTAATTAGTATGAATATCTAAAAATACAGTCAGCCCTCTGTATCAGTGAGTTGCACATCTCTGGATTCAACCAAGGGCAGATCAAAAATATTTAAAAAAATACAACAATTAAAAATAAAACAAATTTTAAAATACAGTAATACAATTTACATAACATTTAAATTGTATTGGTATTATAACTAATCTAGAGATGGTTTAAAGTATACATGAGGATGTGCATAGGTTACATGCAAATACTATGCCATTTTACATAAGGGACTTGAGCAATCTACAATTTTGGTGTCAGCAGGGGAAGAGTAGTTCTGGAACCAGTCCTCTTCAGATACCGAGGAACATCTGTATGCCACATATGTCTGTATTCTTTGTCATTGTAAAAAACGCCAAACTCAAAAGTATAATATTAGGATAATGGTTAAGGAACACGATACTTCCACTAAATGGAACATCATATAGCCACAAAAATATTTTTGAGGGTTTAACATGCAAAAGCAGAATATGGATTTATATATGCATTTGGTGATAACTGTATAAAGGTATGCTTAGTAAAAGATGAATGAGATTTATAAATTTTCTGGGCTAATGAGATTACAAGTAATTTTTTTTTTCTTTTTCTATATGATTTCTATTCTATACATTCTTTATGCTTAGTATTCCATTATGTTTATAATAATAAATGACATTTTTAAAGAAGAACTGTTGAGGCTGGGTGATGGCATGGTCTTGGAAACATGGGTCTGTGGATTTAAGATATAGCAATGTCACAGACTGGTCACATTGATACAAATTAGATTACTGAAAAAGTACTTGCATGAAATACTTGTATAAAACCCTAGTTGTATAAAACTCTAGTGTGCAATAGTTACAGCCAGTAAACAAAGTATTTTGAAGACGTGGGGATTTGGAACTGAATTACAGTTTTTCGTTATTTACCAGTTGCCTATGCTATACATATCACTGTCTTGCAATCGTTATTTAAATTCTTTGACTGTTTGATAAGTTGGATTCATTATGTGACACTGTGTAATTTCATTTGTTAAATAAGATCATGGTCTGTAAACAATTTCAGAATCTCTTCTAAATTTTTATATCACTCATATATAGTAGTTCATATTATAAGTGCTGTATAACATATATGTATCACACTGGAAAAAAAAAAAAGAGTCCAGAGTGGGAAAGGACTCCAGGCCCAGCCAAGGAGCTCCGGAGACCCCCACCCAGAAGCCCCCGGCCTGCAGAGCAAGTGAACCCAGCCCTGCCACTGGAGAAACAGCCATGGTTCCACAGCCCCCTGAACAGGGCGGATGCGGAGAATCTCCTGTCCCTCTGCAAGGAAGCCAGCTACCGAGTGTGGCTCAGTGAGTGTAGTTCCCTCAGGACTGCTCCTTGTCTCTCAGGAGCAGCCAGGGGTTCCTGCATCTGAAGTTCTCACGGACCCGAGAGAACCAGGTGGTGCTGGGCCAACACAGCAGGCCCTTCCCCAATGTGCCTGAGCTGGTCCTCCACTACAGTTCCCGCCCCCTGCCCATGCAGGGAGCTGAACATCTGGCTCTGCTGTACCCCGTGGTCATGCAGACCCCCTGACAGCAACCCTCGGCCCCCTTTTGAGTCCTCGGGCCCAGAATTGTATCCCAAAGCCCTCCCCTGGCGTAGAAAATAAATAAGTTACTGTTAAAAAAAAAAAAGAATGAATTTTTTTTAAATCAAATACTGCAGTACTGATTTAATCAGTATAAAATTGAAAGAGCTTTAGATCTGTAATAAAAATCCAAATTTGGGGAAGGGCAAACTTTAAAACAACAGCCAAGTAGAGAAGGGTTGGGGAAAGGAGGGGTGAGTGAACAGGCACATTGGAACTGTGGGGACATGTAATTGACCACCGTCAAGCCAGTGTAAGTTTCTTGGTTTCTCATGGAAAACACTTTATACATCTATTTTTCTTTTTTGGAGCATCCCTGTTCTTTTTAATAATTTCAGAATAAAGTCTCATTTCAGTGCACCCTAAAAGGTCAGCATTAAGGTTGGGAAATTCAGTTCGCATTTTTGGCCATGTACTTTTCTTTTTTATAATATTAAACTTTTAATTTTGAGATAATTGTACATTCATATGAAAGAAAGAATACAGTGAGGTACCCTTTACACAGTGACCCATAATGATAATATTTTGCAAAATTATAGTACAAAATCACAACCGTGGTATGCTATTGACATTGACACAATTAGCATATAAAACGTTACAATTATAATAAAGACCCTTCATAGTGCTTTTATAGCCACACCGACTTCCTTCCAAATTCAAAACTATTTATTATATGATTCCATTTATATGAAGTGTCCAGAATATTTACATCTATAGCTACAAAAAGTAGAGCAGTGGTTATGAGGGCTGGGGGAAGAGAGAAATGGGGAACAATCACAAAAGGGGTTAGGGGTTCTTTCTGAGGTGGTATTTTCTAAAATTAGATTTAAGTGATGGTTACACAACTTGTGAATACACTAAAACTATTAAACTGTACACTTTACATGAGTAAATATTAAGATATGTAAATTATGTCTCAATAAAGTTGTTAAAAACTAAAAATAATCAATTATCCTTATATGCATATATGACTTTAGCCTTTGCTGGCCTCCCCGCAGCTGTGCCTGTCTGAGGTTGCTCTCATCTTTCAGAGTCTTACCTGTCATTGCTCACCAGCCATCCTCCCAGGGGGCACACAGGAAACTTACTTGCTTGCCTGTGAACTACACTGCTGGTGCATCTGCTCCTACAGCTGGTCACTTCCTCCATGGGAGCAGACTGGCTTTTGCTGTGACTTTAGCCTTTGCTGGCCTCCCCGTGGCTGTGCCTGTCTTAGGTTGCTCTCATCTTTCAGAGAATGTTACCCGTCATTTGCTAACCAGCCATTCACCTGGGGGCACACAGGCAACTCGCTTGCTTGCCTGTGAATTAGACTGCTGGTTCATCTGTTCCAGTGCTGCTCTTTTATTTCATGGGAGCAGTCTGGATTTTGCTATGACTTTAGCCTTTTCTGTCCTTTCCGCGGCTGTGCCTGTCTTTGGTTTCTCTCATCTTGCAGAGTGTCTTACCTGTCATTGGCTCACCAGCCATCCACCTGATGATCACACAGGCAACTTACTTGCTTGCCTGTGAGTTATGATGCTGGTGCATCTGCTCCTAATGCTGCTCGTTTCCTTCATGGAGCAGGCTGGCTTTTTTATTTATTTATTTTATTGCAGTTTAGGTTTTGGGGTACATGTGAAGAACATGCAAGATTGTTATATAGGTACACACCTTTCAGCATGATTTTCTGCCTTCCTCCCCTTACCCTATATCTGGCATTTCTCCCCATGCTATCTCTCCCCAACTCCCCATCCCCTGCTGTCCCTCCTCTATTTCCCCCAACAGACCCCAGTGTGTTATGCTCCCCTCCCTGTGTCCATTTGTTCTCATTGTTCAACACCCGCCTATGAGTGATAACATGCGGTGTTTGATTTTCTGCTCTTGTGTCAGTTTGCTGAGAATGATGGTTTCCAGGGTCATCCATGTCCCTACAAAGGTCCCAAACTCATCGTTTTTGATGGCTGCATAATATTCCATGATGTTTATGTGACACATTTTCCCTGTCCAGTCTGTCATTGATGGGCATTTGTGTTGGTTCCAGGTCTTTGCTATTGTAAACTGTGCTGCAATGAACATTCGTGTGCACGTGTCCTTATAGTAGAACAATTTATAATCCTTTGGATATATACCCAGTAATGGGATTGCTGGGTTAAATGGAATTTCTATTT